TAGGCCTAGGCCCACTGGGGTTGTAGTGCCAGGGGGGGGGGGAAAGAAAAAAACAAGAGTAAGGAAGTTGAATTCAAATATCTTAGGCTGCAGTCTAGAATGGGTTTTGTGAATCGGTAAAGAAACCTACGTTTTCCACACAAATTGGACAATGTCATAAGCATTTGAGTGGCTCTTTACTCTCCGGGAAAATACTCGCTGTAACATACTTAGATGAAGAGTTCTGTTTTCTTCGATATTGCCTTCAGAAACGCCGGTTGAATTTCAACGGACTACACGACTTTATGTCCCAAGAGATAAACCTCTTCAAAACAACTGCTGTGAGAACCTCAGATCCTATATACGTAGTTGGTTGGTTAGCCATTGCATGGTGGCCGTGCCATAACTCAGGGGGTTACTCGCTGCGACCAGGGTTCGATCCAAGATGAAGTAATGTGGGATTTGTGGTGGACAAAATGACATTGGGGCAGGAGTCTTCCGAGTATTTCGCTTTCCCCCGCCAATTTTCATTCCAATGACTGATGCACATTCATCATCATCTATCATCTGGGGCGGGTACAATAGGCCAATTGGTGGCCGACGTACTTTACTTACTTTCTCATGGAGAGGAGCCCTTCTGCAGCTACTCAAGAATTTCCCAGCATTTTATGGAACTCGAAGGTTTATTACCGTGTTCACAAGAGCCCTCCACTGGTCCTTATATTGAGCCAGATCAATCCAGTCAATACCATCCCAACCTATCACTCTAAGATCCATTTTAATATTGTCCACCCACATACATCTTGGTTTTCCTAGTGGTTTCTTTCCTTATGGCTTTCCCACCAATATATCCTATACGCATTCCTCGTCTCCCCCATTCGTGCTAGATGCCCCGCCCACCTCATCTTCCATGACTTGATCATTCTAATTATACTTGGAGAAGAGTACAAGTTATGAAGCTCCTTATTATGCAGTTTTCTCCAACCTTCTGTCCCTTCATCTCTCTTCCTTCCAAATATTCTCCTCAACACCTTGTTCTCAAACACCTTCAATCTATGTTCCTCCCTTAATGTCAGAGATCAAGTTTCACACTCATACAGAACCACAGGAAAAATTATAGTTCTTTATTTCTAATTTTTATGATTTTCGACAGCAGGCGAGAAGACAAAAGGTTCTGGACTGAATGTTAGCAAGCATTACCCGAGGTCAATCTCCTCTTAATTTCCTCCTCAATCAGGTTTCGATCTGTTATCTTTGTTCTCAAATATCTGAACTGTGCCACATTTTTCAGAACATCTGTTTCCTATCTTTATGTTATGATTTTGTCCGGCATTTTGGTGACAAGACAGTA